TGCTTTGATGTTGAATACCATAAATTTCAAAGAAAATCTAGATTATTAAGGCTAACAATTCAAGAGTCTCTAATTTTGCAGGATTACATATCAACAAGCTTTCTAATTTAAGCATAGCTTTTCATAATTCATATGATGAAACCTGAAAGTGATTAAACATCACTTTAAAGAAAATAACCTCTACTATTAGGTAGTGTTTGGTGGTTATTCCAAAATAAAAGAAATGGAAATAGTAGGATAAAAAAAAATGTTTGGATGAAAGGATAAAGACAAAAACATTAAAAAAATATATCTTAAGGAAAAGTTTCACAATTAGAAAATTTAAAAATGCTAATGAAATATTATGTCGGCATATAACAGATATTATATTAACATTGAAAATTATTGAAGAAAATGAAAACAAAAACCTACTGTTAGAAAATATCTCATATGATTTTTATTCCATCGACAAAATATTCACATCTAAAAATCAACTTTTATTTTTCAATTTCTCTCATAAATTTCATCACCATTTATTATTCTAATAGATATTTCATCAATGATTCCATCACCAAGTTCCTTCACATTCCGTAAGTTTTATCAAAAGTTTCATAATAGATGCATATATTTTGGTGGAATTTCCAACAAAATTTCCTTTCCATTAGCAATTTCATCAAAGATTTTAATTATATTTTTTATTTTATTTTTTTATGATCTTCAAGCCAATAATTTCTTGCTCACAAGAAACTCACAACAAAAAACTCAAAAATTGACATATTCAAATTTCATAATAAATAATGCTAATGAATTACAGAGACCTATGATTTTTATAGTTGGAAGATTTAAGTAGAAAATTTATATAAATAGTGCACAACAATGAGATTGGAAGAATTTAATACTCAAAAATTAAAAAAATATATAGAAATGAACAATAAAAGATATCAGTAGAAAACCACTCATATTCCAATTGAAATACAATCAGAACTACAATGTAAAATATATATACCCAATACATTACATTGGCAGTTATGAAGATAGATGTGAGAGGGAGGAAAATATGTTGAACTAGAAGGTCTAGGGAGAGGAAAAGGTATAATCATAATTGCACTTAGCTGAGCTCAATACATCTTATTTTGTTTTAGGATTATAGCACTTATCTTCTTCATCTCCATAGCCATTTATTTTTTAACCCTTTTCTATACAATCTAATTAAATTACTATGATGAACAACTTGAGTTAGAATATAGTGTGCCAAAAGTTGAAATAGTACGGCCAACCCTCAGCTATTGTATCAATGTTATAGGTAAATCATAAACTTGGTTCCTATAAGATCCATCACTTGCAACAATTTTTAACCACGCTGAAGGATCATGAGGAGGACGAGTAGAAATGCCTTTGTCAAATTTCTCAACTATGATCATGTTATATCTCTCCTGTTAAAAAAATCAAGTTTTAAAATTCAATTACATTTTATATTATTTGTGCAAATAAACATTCTTAAACCAATGATAACTATCAAAACACTTACAATGAATGCTTTTTCTTTTTTATTAATAAATATTTTCTCTTTTTTTTCCCTTTCCCCCTTTATTATATGAGTTTCCTCGCATAATTCCATTGGAGTTGGTTCTCGCCCAAGAAATTTTTCTTGTAAATTAAATAATTTGTTAAGATTCTCAATAATAAATATGTAATTAAGAATTCAATAAAATTAATAAAATATATAACAATAAACTCTTATTAGGCACTTTGCAAGTTGGATAAACAGAATCGTTTCTTTAACGTGCTTACTCACCAAACCATTAGGTTTTTTATTTCTTTTTTATTTATAGGAGCTTAAGCGCTTTATAAAACCTTTTGATACCACAAATTCAAGATACAGTGCTCAATTATGATCTATGACATACTTCAATTTATAGTTTTTTCATTTCTATAAGCCATTCGACCTGACCTTTTTGTATTACTAATTTGTGGGCATCATATAGAAAATCATGCAATCTGGTGCAATAAATAATTAATTCATATATGTTTTAAATTTATTATATAAAAAATAGGTGAAAAAATAAAAGCATACAAGTTTACAATAATATAACATTAATTTATTTAAACTACCCTAGTTTCACTATGGTTTTTTCACACTCTCCTCACAATTTCCTCATTGCTTCTATTTCATAAATTTTCTCTTTATTTGATTTAATACATAAATTAATTTTCAAAAAAATTTAAGTTAGTATCTTGAGTTTAAGATTATTTATCAAAAAAATTTAAGTTAGTATCTCGAGTTTAAGATTATTTATCCCACCTTAAACTTAACCTACCAAGAATCTACCATTTATGTCCATTTAGGATGGTTATCAAGTTAACTCCATTGAAATAATAGTTTTTCAAATGACCACTTCATCATAGAGGTGAAATAAGCAACTTTAAGATTGGAAAAATTGATTATCAATTTAAGAAATCCATTTTGATATAATTGCAAAATTTAAAATAACCCAATAAAAATAAATAATATCATGAGACAAAACAATGACATAGAGAGGTCACCTCTTTATTTTGTTATCCATTTACCTGAAATAAGCTCTATTAAAAAAGAGATACATGATCTATTGTCCTCAGTGGTTGAGGCTTGATTAATAACTTTCATATTATGTGTATCTTTATAATCATCATCTAGATTCACAAGATAATCATCAACATTACTACTTAATAAAGTAGGAGTGCTCTTATCGGACTTGAACTTGTTTGTTCTTAAATACATAATGCCTAAAACAAAATAGTGAATGCATATTAGAAAAAACATACAACAAAATAAACTAACAAATTAAAATATTTATGAAAAATAAATCACACTTATCTTACACAAACCAACTAATAAGTTTATTTTTTAATGCCAAGATAACTCAATTCCTTCGTTTTAAAAAATATAATTCATAATCCAATAACTATCAAACACCCTATAAGTTAAAACATATTAACCCCTAATTGTTTTCAATTCCACACAAAATCATTTTCTCCATATTCTCAACTAAGCCATAAAAATTTACAAAAAACTAGATGATATGTAACTAAATACCTATTATTTATTCAATTCAAGAATAAATAAAATCAATTAATATCCTAATTATTATCAATTACATATTAATTTAATTGCTCCCCAAATTCTTATCAAAACCGTAAATACTACAATTAATTAGTACCCAACTAATTATCCATCATCTCTTCAATTCAAACTTATTCAACCTAAATTAATACCTTTAATTATTATCAATTTCACACAAAATTAGTTTTCCCTAAATTTTCAACTTAATCATAAAATTGATAGAAATAATCAATACCCACTAAATTTATAAAATAATTCTTCATTTTATCAAGTGAAAAATCAAATCCAAATCTTCAAACAAATCCTAAAATATAAATCATACATTAGTGCAATAAAAATACCATTATAAAACAAATAAAACACTTACATATACAAACAAATTATAAATACTACAAACAATTATCAATATATTAACTTAGAACATAAAGGGGTGGATTTGCTTACTTGGTTGAGTGAAGCTTGAATAAAATGGAACTAAAGCTTAGGCTTTTAAAAGATGTTGCATTAGCACCAAGGAGTTGTATTGGCTGAATTTGTGGAGTTATGGCTATCATACTTTTTTTTAGGGAAAGGAGAGAGCTATTTTTACTTGTTTTGAAAAAAAAAATGAAATGTGGAGAGAAGATGATTAATAGGTTTTCATTTCTCTTAAACTCACCGATGAAATTTTCATTGTTAATTTGACACGTCAACAATGCTAGCAGAATTACAGATAATTTCTTTTATTTAATTTTTTTTGTTTGCATTTATTGATAGAAATTTTCTATCATAATTTTTGTTTATAAACCATAACATAATATTTTTCATTATGTTGCTTTTTTTTAATTTTACAATAGTGTTTGAAGTGAATTTTTGTCCTTTTAAAATATGAGGTACAAAAGAGACATGTCTCAAGAGACAATGTTTTTTATTTTTATCTCTAAAATACCTTTGTAAAATATTTTAATTTTAAAATTGTCCAACTAAAAAATATAAAGATAAAAATACTAATTATTATAGTTTTAAAACTCAACCTGGAACAAAACCCTGAGACATGGAGTAGGAGGACCAACCTTGGACTTGGGTTAACTTATTTTTTTAAATGGTCAAATGATGCAATTTGATTAAAAAAATTCAAAAAAAAATCAATGGGTTTATAACCTACCTAAGGGTGACTAAATTACAGGTTGACCTGGATTTTGATCGAGTCAAACAAGATCAATTCTTTCTTTATTTTTCTTAAACTTGGACTGACATATGCTCTGGGTGTGCTAGATCCCTGGTCAGCTAAGTACTAAGTTGACCTGTCAGACAGGTTTAGACTTTATAACTAAAGTTATTATATTATTATTAATTTCAACATTCAATATAAATTAAAGTAAAAGGATAATATCTTATTATTTTTTAAAATATATAAATTTGATAATAACACATATTAAGAGTAAAATAGATTTTTATATATTTTATTTTGTTTTATTTACCATCAACCAAATAGGATATAGAGGCATTCACTTTATTTAGTAAACATCATTACCAAATATAATTTTATTTTTATTTATTGTTTTGTCTTGTCTTATTTATTTTTATTGTCTTTACATATTATATATGAGGACAATAATCAAATTATTTTTAATTACATCGGTAATTGAGTAGACAAAATGGAGAACAAATCATGGGCCCTGAGAAACCAATTATAACTTACATTTCTTTTTCTATTTTGGTAAGTTATAAATTAATTATCTAAGGTCCATATTTGTAGGAAAGGAAGAAAAAGGATTGTTTTATATTTTTTATTTGGATAACTTACCTGGCCATCCTAAGAGTTTACACTAATTTTATTAGCCAATTGCTTTGATATAGAAACTAAATAAATTTGTTTGATTATATATAAAATTTTAAATAAATCAACAAACTGAATACAATCATATAGTACAAACAAAGAATGGAGATGAATATAATTTCGTTTATCGAGGCTAAGGTTTTTAGATTGGATCATTATATATATATATATATATATATATATATATATATATATATATATATACCTCTTTCATTGCAGGATTAATTTATCACCTTAATTAGAGTGTTTGTCGCTATTAATATGCAAATTAATTATATGAAAAACTCAAATCAATAATCGTGACGTAGAGAATTAGTCAAGAATGAATGTGCAACAGTACTATATTTCCTTGAAAGGCTTATCAACATTCTATATAAGAGAACAGGGATGATTCCTTCATCATATTGTCGGTCCCATACCTCATTTGGTACACACACTATGGTAAAGATGAGCAAATTCAATAATGCATGCCTTTTCATTCTGTGTTTTTTTGGCATAAGATGTGAAAAAAAAAAAAACTTGGATGATTTTGCTTTGCAATGATATTTATCTAGATCTATTACATCTCCACCAACAAGTGTACTAGCACAAGATGCCATATTTTAATGTGTTGAACCTCATGAAAGTCCATATTAATTAATATTTGTTCGATTTGCAGGATCTATTTGCTATAATATCTATCACTACTCTGATATCCATCTTGCAAATTAGCGTTAATGCTGAATTTAATGTCATAAATTATGGAGCTTCTGGGAATGGGATCACTAACGACTCCTTGGTAAAAAGTTTTTGTTGAGGGACTTAATCGTTTTTATTTTCTTTGTTATTTTCTTGGTTTTTATTTTTATTTTTTTTAACCAAGGTTTCTATTTTTATTTGATCTAGGCATTCTTAAGGACATGGAACAATACGTGTAATGCACCTGGCACTTCTACGATGATCATACCTAAAGGAAAGACATTTTTCCTGAACCCCTTGACCTTCAACGGTCCATGCAAGGCTAACAAAATCAGTGTTATGGTAAGAGAAGTTAAAGATAGAATTACTTGTTAAGGGATTCAACAAGAGAGGATTGTTGGCTTGATAGTGTGCTCTTTTCCTTAATCATAAAAGGTCAAATTTCAATAATAGCATGATTTAAACCGGGTAAAAAAAAAATTCTTAATATATAAAAACTGATTCGAAAATACTTTTATTCATGAACAGAAAAAATAAAAGGAATTAATGGTTGAATGACTTGGCCATAATGTAGCCCAAGATACCTATCATTGCATGATGAATTATGTGACTTCGCTCTTCTTCTATTCTACTTCGTCGTGTAATAGAAAGACCTCAACTTGTTTGTTCATTTATTTATTTATTTATTTATTTATTTATTTATTTATTTATTTATTTTTACTATCATTAATTTAGTTTTCTTGCAGTTTTATGGCCGTGTTATTGCGCCTGATGGTCCAAATAATTGGAAAGAAAGGGATTTGTCAACATGGTTACGCTTTAAGGACATAGCTTGGCTAACAGTAAGTGGATCTAGGCTCCTGGATGGACGTGGTGAAGGCTGGTGGGATGCCTCCTGCAGATACCGCCCTGGAAAGGTAGACTGGGCTGGTGGTTCATAAGTGATAACACTGTAACTAGCAAGCAAACTAGCTTTATTTATGAACACCAGGTTTTCACTGCTTCATTTATTAATTTCTGATTTCTATGTTGCCCTCAAAAGTCTAACAATTACTGTGTTCGAATTTTTCTGAACAGGGATGTTTCATTCTTATGCCCACTGTAAGTAATGCATTTCGATCTTGCGGTTAAACTCTCTATTACTAGAAAATATGGACACTGGAAGTTAAAACATTGTGCTAAAGGCGAAAGAAAGAAAATGTAGTTGGGACAAACATGGTATTTGCTTTCGATACATGCAGGATCATTTTTTTGGAATCTTTACAGAAAAACAATATTGTCTGAAAAAACTGTGTGATGTACATAATAAAAATATTAGTTAATTGCTCTTGATCTACACAAGTATATGTTGAAGAACTACACAAGCCCAGAAAAGAAGAAACGAGAGAAATTAATGAACTTTAGAATCTTAAAGCGTATTATACATACAATGATTTTGTAGGCTGTAAGATTCGAAGGATGTGAACATTTGCAAGTGGACCACATCAACATTGTAAACAGTCCACAATTTCATATCACTCTCTGGGGAAGCCGAAATGCAGAGTTAAGATTCTTAGACATACAGTCTCCTGAAAGCAGCCCTAACACCGACGGAATTCACATTTCATCCTCTAACGATGTTACAGTCCACGACTCAATTATTGGTTCTGGTAATTAATAGTTAATTTAGATTTTGTAAGTATGTAATCAAAAGTGCTGATCATGCATGTCAACATAACAGGTGATGATTGTATCTCCATTGGAGATTACACTTCTAACATTACTATTCTTGATGTTTCTTGTGGCCCTGGTCATGGTATAAGGTAAGTACTTGTCTTTAGTCTTCATTAAATTACTACATCTATATATATATTCAGTTTTTTATTTCTGCTAATTTATGATCTTTTTATACATAAAATATGGAGAATGTCAGTGCCCGTTTTCAAACAAATTAAAAAAATATTCTTTAAAAAAAAAGGAAAAAAAACGAATGTGATCAAGTGGATAGTTTTCTCCAAGACGTCATCCCATGAATTGTAGAATAACTAAATTGCATGAGATCACTTTTCAAATGGGATCTGTTCATAGGATAATATTTTTTGGGAAAAACTCCAAACGCGATTATCAGCAGTAACCTCAGTATTTTTGTTGCTCAACTTTGAAACAGCATTGGGAGTTTTGGTAGGGGTAGAAATGAGGTGGAAGTGGAGGGCATATTTGTAAGTCGTGCTAACTTCAGTGGTACAACCAATGGAGCTCGGATCAAAACATGGCAGGGGGCTAGAGGTAATGTCAGAGATGTCCATTTCTCTGATTTAATCTTCACAGAAGTGGAAAATCCAATTATCATCGATCAGCACTATGGTGATCCGCAAGAAAAAAATGTAAGCCAAGTTTAATTATATGATTTTGGATTAGAATAAACATTACAATCTGGTCTCTGAAATAAATGGTGTTTTCTCCGATTTATGATTGTGAAAGCAAACCGGGGTGCACATAAGCGATGTGAGCTATTCTAGGGCACAAGGCACGACGAAGACAGCAGTGGCTATCAACTTCAATTGTAGCAGTAGCGTTGCTTGCACCAACATCGCGTTAGACAATATTCAGTTGAAATCATCTATTCGAGGACAACAACTCTCTTCTTTCTGTAACAATGCTTATGGTATCACTAAAGGGATTGTGTACCCTAAGTCCTGTCTAACGTGAAATATCAACGTGCATGAAGCCCGATAAATTATCTTTCATCGCGATATTGATATTCGATTGGTGCAAGTATCATAAAAGAGACTATGCAATGAACTATTGCATTATTTAAAGTAGTCATACATATTTCTTATTGTCTCACCCAATATTCTGGCAACTTGTTCTCTTTCTTGAAAAAGAAAAAGGTTTCTTTTATTGTAGTGAGAGAAAAAGTCTTATCTTATGAAAAAAAATATTAGACCCAATAATTACTATGAGTGATGTTTTCTCTCAGGATGAGAATAACCAGTAATTTGCATAAAATCTTTTTACTTCATTAATAAGACTTGGTTGCTTAAATAGCAAAGCCAATTAACAACCCACGTATTTACAAGTCAACCGAATAAAAAAATACACGACTAACAGAAATACAAATAAATACAAAGGGAAAGAGACCCTCCCATACTGCCCGATGCACGTCTTCTAATGAATGGACGTTTGAGTGCATGGGACATGCAACCGAATAAAAAAACACACGACTAACAGAAATACAAATAAATACAAAGGGAAAGAGACCCTCCCATACTGCCCGATGCACGTCTTCTAATGAATGCACGTTTGAGTGCATGGGACATGCAACCAACTGCCCGCATGATTGCACATGTGCAGTGCATGGGACATGCACACTTACAGATATTTGAGATTTGGTTTGAGGCCACGAGTTGAACATCATGGCCTATCATTACTTCCTCCAGGAAGAATTTCCTTGTCCTTAAGGATGGTAGGCCAGAAGTTAGCGAGCAATTGTTCAGTGAGCTCCCAAGTGGCATCATCAGTGGAAAGATTTTTCCAGCAAACTAAGCTCTCCTCAACAAGGTGGCCCCTATATTGTTTGATCCAACGAGTATCCAAAATCTTTTGAGGCTCTAAAATGACCACGCCTTCATCAGCGTGATATGGAAAGGTTTTAACAAAGACACATGGAAAACGGGATGGATTCGCGAGTGAGCAGGTAGTTGTAACTTGTAAGCGATAGGCCCACATTTTTCCAGAACCAAGTAAGGTCCATAATAACGACTGGCTAGCTTTTGATGGACACGTTTGAAAGTCGTTTGCCGGCGATAAGGATGTAACTTGAGTAAAACCAAACTGCCAACCCCAAACAAGACATCCCTACGTTTGTGATCTGCCATTTGTTTCATACGATTAACTAAAAGTTCTAAGTTGGTCTTGAGTTGTTTAAGTAAGGCATCGCGATGTAACAATTGTTGATCAACTTCATGTACAGCCGAGAGGCCTTCAGTGTACAATGGAATGGATGGGGGTACACGAGCATACAACGCTTGAAATGGGGTCATGCCAGCAAAGATTTGGTACGTGGTATTATACCAATATTCAGCCCATGGAAGATAACTGGTCCATTTGCAAGGCCATTAATGAATGAAACAACGCAGATACTGCTCCACACAATGGTTAACTATCTCCGTTTGTCCATCAGTTTGTGGATGATACGCAGAACTAAGCTTTAATTTAGTACCCGACAACATAAAGAATTCTTGGCAGAATTTACTAACAAAAATGGGATCGTGGTCACTGATAATAGAAATGGGCATGCCGTGAAGCTTGATAATTCCTTCTACAAACTTGTCAGCCACAATTTTAGCAGTAAAGGGATGATTTAATGAAAGAAAATGAGCTGATTTGCTGAACCTATCAACAACCACCATAATTGCATCTTTTCCCTAAGACGTGGGTAATCCCTCAATAAAGTCCAATGAAATATCATCCCACACCTGGCAAGGAACAGGTATGGGCTGTAGAAGGCCTGCTGGAGCCATTGTTTCAGTCTTGATCTTTTGGCAAACTTCACATCCTTTAATATACTCCTCCACTGATCGATCTATCCCTAGCCAATAGAACTGTTGGCTCAATTTCTTGAATGTGCGTAAGATGTCAGAATGCCTACCTATTTTAGTGTTATGCATTTTGTGGAGTAAACGAATGCGTAAGGAATTATCAGCAGGAACAATAACTTTCCCTTTGTAGAAGAGCAGCCCATCACGCCACTTATACTGTCCTTCAAGTTGATCATTGGCCAAATAACCTTTCATCTTGATATAGTGATTAGTTGTTGCGGCGTGTTTGATATCTTTCCATAGACTGACTTGTGGAATAAATGGATGGTTAAGAACGGGACTGCCTTGTTTCCTAGATAATTCATCTGCTACAGAATTTTCACGCCCTGGTCGGTATAAGATTTTGTAGTCGTAGCCTAAACGTTTAGCGACCCACTTTTGCTGTTCTGGTGTGACAATTCGCTGCTCCAAGAGATACTTAAGGCTGCGGTGATCAGTTTGAATAAAAAATTTCTTGCCCAGAAGATAAGGATGCCATAAATGGATAGCCTCAATGATAGCCAACATTTCTTTTGCATATGTAGACCAAGATAGTTTAATGACACCAAGTGCCCTGCTCATGAATGCCACTGGTTTACCTTGTTGCGACAACACAGCACCAATGCCTTCATCAGAAGCATCAGTCTTAGTAGTAAATGAGTCGTTAAAATTAGGCATGGCAAGTGTAGGAGTTATGGTCATGGCATGCTTGAGTGCAATCAACACAGACTCTGCCTTATCATCCCAAACATACTGGCCTTTATTGAAGAGGTTGGTGAGAGGCCAAGCAAGAACACCATATTGGCTGACAAACTTGCGATAATAAACTGTTAAACCCAAAAATCCACATAAAGCAGAAATATTAATAGGGCGTGGCCATTCCACCATTGCTTCTACCTTTTTGGCATCTACTTTCACTCCATGATTTTTGACTATATGTCCCAAATATTCCAGCTCCTATTGCCCAAAGGCACATTTACTCCACTTGACAAAGAATTGGTGTTGCCATAGTATGGACAAGGTCTGCTGGACATGCTCTAAATATTGTTCCCATGTATTTCTATAAACCAAGATATCATCAAAGAAAACCAAGATGAATTTTCTAAGATGTGAATGAAAGATTGAATTCATAATAGCTTGGAATGTAGATGGCATATTGCATAAACCAAAAGGCATCACCAAGTACTCATAATATCCATTATGTGTCCTGAATGCAGTTTTTGGTATATCAGGAGGACTTACCCTGACTTGATGGTAACCAACCCGTAAATCAAGCTTGGTAAAGTATGATGCACCATAGAGTTCATCCAACATGTCTTCAACAGTAGGAATTGGAAACCTGTCTTTAATTGTGGTAGCGTTGAGTGCATGATAGTCTGTGCAAAAGCACTAGTTACCATCCTTCTTCTTAACTAAGATGACTGGTGATGAGAAGGGACTAGTGTTAGGTTGAACAAGTCCGGAGTTTAGCATTTCTTGGACTTGTTTCTCAATCTCCTCCTTCTGATAATGAGCATAGCGATATGGACGTGCATTCACCGGTGCAGTGCCTTCTTTCAAAGGAATACTATGGTCAATCTGTCTGGAAGTTGGTAAACTAGAATGGTGCAGTGCCTTCTTTCAAAGGAATACCGTGGTCAATTGACACGACGGAAATATTGTTGTCTTCTTCCAAGTGCAGGAGTGTCAAAGGCTCCATAAAGACATTAAAAAATTCATGCAACACTCCTTACATGCTAGGTTGAATGCCACCCTGTGTATCTTGTATAGTGATTTGTAAACAAAAGGCATATATGGCACCATTGAAACAAATGTCTTTTGAGATTTCTTTAAATATAGCTACTTGAATCTCATAGTTGTGTACCCTTCCAACCGTCTGGCTTTATTTGCCCAAAAAAATTCCATGGTTAATTGTTTCCAGTTGCAAACCACATACCTAAGTAACTCCAGCCATTGAATTCTCAGCACTAAATCCAGCCTTGTAATTGGTAGAGAATATAGTATTAAGGAAAAAAATAGAGCCTTGTAGGTCTACCTAAACCTCGTTGAACTTTTCTTGACACTTGAGATTCTCCCCATTCGCTACCCGTACTGTGAACGCCTTTGTAGATATCACTGGTAGACGCAGTAAGTTTGCCATTCGCTCACTAATGAAGTTATGTGTGGACCCGCTGTCAATTAGTGTGAATATGGCATGAGAACCAATTTTGGCAGTTACTCACATGGTTTTGGGTGCAATCCATCCTGTTAATACATGTAACATAATCTTAGGTTCCACAAATTCCTCAAGGTGCTCTGCAACATGACGTTTGTCATGGACATTGTCACAAACAGCTTCATCGTCTTCATCATGACCTTCTAGCATTAGCAATTTTGCTCCTTGACATTTATGCCCTACTGTGAAACGTTCATTACAATTAAAACATAATCCTTAAAGTCATCTCCGCTGCATTTCATCCCAGCTCAAATGTCTTATCGATGCCACATGTATTGTTGACGTTGTTGGTAAAAGGGCTACAGAAGCTCGTACCAGTGGTGCTGAACATATGAACTTCCTCTGTCTCATAAGCTTATCATCTTTCATTCGTGCAAACCTGATAGCATCCTTTAATGTTTGTGGCTTAAACATATAAATGCCATATGATATGTCCGACCTCAAACCACGCATAAAAGTTCCCACTAAAGCCTTTTGTGTCCAACCCCCGACTCGATTGCCTAGTGATTAGTATTTAAAAGTGTATTTTTTGACTCGATTGCCTAGCCGTTCAAATTCTCGCTGGTATTCAGGTAAGGATCCAGTTTGTTTGATTCTTGAAAGAGCTTCATCGAAATTCTCACACTTTGATAGTCCAAAGCGAGCCTAAAGTTCATCTACAAAATTCACCTAAGCAATAGCACGTCCCTCATCTTAGAAATTCCTGCGAATCCACTACCAAAGATACCTTTTATGTTTCAGTCGTATTCTAAAACTCAAAAAATTGGTTTACTCTATTGAACCATTCGGTTAGGTCATCTCCTGAAAATCTAGAAAACTCAAACTTTGCTGTTTTGGAAGATACAATTTGTCGCCCTCCATCATGGCCCTCACGATATTGATTACCATGAGTTATAGGTTCCTGGTTAGCCAGC